ACGCTGCCCGCACGCTGCCCGCACGCTGCCCGCACGCTGCCCGCACGCTGCCCGCACGCTGCCCGCACGCTGCCCGCACGCTGCCCGCACGCTGCCCGCACGCTGCCCGCACGCTGCCCGCACGCTGCCCGCACGCTGCCCGCACGCTGCCCGCACGCTGCCCGCACGCTGCCCGCACGCTGCCCGCACGCTGCCCGCACGCTGCCCGCACGCTGCCCGCACGCTGCCCGCACGCTGCCCGCACGCTGCCCGCACGCTGCCCGCACGCTGCCCGCACGCTGCCCGCACGCTGCCCGCACGCTGCCCGCACGCTGCCCGCACGCTGCCCGCACGCTGCCCGCACGCTGCCCGCACGCTGCCCGCACGCTGCCCGCACGCTGCCCGCACGCTGCCCGCACGCTGCCCGCACGCTGCCCGCACGCTGCCCGCACGCTGCCCGCACGCTGCCCGCACGCTGCCCGCACGCTGCCCGCACGCTGCCCGCACGCTGCCCGCACGCTGCCCGCACGCTGCCCGCACGCTGCCCGCACGCTGCCCGCACGCTGCCCGCACGCTGCCCGCACGCTGCCCGCACGCTGCCCGCACGCTGCCCGCACGCTGCCCGCACGCTGCCCGCACGCTGCCCGCACGCTGCCCGCACGCTGCCCGCACGCTGCCCGCACGCTGCCCGCACGCTGCCCGCACGCTGCCCGCACGCTGCCCGCACGCTGCCCGCACGCTGCCCGCACGCTGCCCGCACGCTGCCCGCACGCTGCCCGCACGCTGCCCGCACGCTGCCCGCACGCTGCCCGCACGCTGCCCGCACGCTGCCCGCACGCTGCCCGCACGCTGCCCGCACGCTGCCCGCACGCTGCCCGCACGCTGCCCGCACGCTGCCCGCACGCTGCCCGCACGCTGCCCGCACGCTGCCCGCACGCTGCCCGCACGCTGCCCGCACGCTGCCCGCACGCTGCCCGCACGCTGCCCGCACGCTGCCCGCACGCTGCCCGCACGCTGCCCGCACGCTGCCCGCACGCTGCCCGCACGCTGCCCGCACGCTGCCCGCACGCTGCCCGCACGCTGCCCGCACGCTGCCCGCACGCTGCCCGCACGCTGCCCGCACGCTGCCCGCACGCTGCCCGCACGCTGCCCGCACGCTGCCCGCACGCTGCCCACATGCCTCATCTGTGACGTGCCATCCGCCAGCATTGCCCCCAGCTTGGAGGGGAGAGCGGCGGGGAGTGGGATGCCCCATAGGGGCTGGTGGGACCCCGTGATGCCCCACGCAAAGCCCCAGTGAAGCCACAGTGCCGGGGCAGAAGATCCATCCCTTGTCCCACATCCCACCGGGGGGACTGGCCGCGGTCCCCAGGCAATGGTGGTGTCGAGCACACATGTGGCAGGAGCACCGTGGGCATGAACGGCTCGGGATGGGTGGGCTGTGGTGGGGGGGTGGACCATGCCCGGGATGTGCAAGCAGTGCCTGCCTGCTCTGGGGTCCAGGGGAGGCAGCTGAGCCACGGGGTTCAGCCTCTTCGGGGTCCGCTTGGGGCTGTGGGGGCAAAGCAGAGGCACAGAAACCAGGGCAAAAGCTTTAGGGTGCCGGCTGCACCCATCTGAGGGGGCATCATCCCTAGACTTGGGTGATGCGCTCTGCGCCAGCTCCTGCCGGCACACAGACATGCAGCCCCGGCTCCGAGAGCCCCAGGTCCGGCCCTCAGGAAGGGCAGCACGGCAGCGGCACAGCCAGGGGATGCCGGTCCAGGAGTGGCCAATGGGTCAAGCACACGGAGGAACCACAGAGCGGCATGTGCCCTGACCCGGCGACCCACCACCCCGGTCCACTGCGCCGCTTCACCCCCCGCTTTGTTGTTTTATGGCAAGGAAATGAGGCACGGGGGGCCCTGGTCTGGCTCTTGCCGCCGTGCAGGACGGCGTCAAGCCGGAATGTGCCCTGACCCGGCGACCCACCACCCCGGTCCACTGCGCCGCTTCACCCCCCGCTTTGTGGTTTTATGGCAAGGAAATGAGGCACGGGGGCCCCTGGTCTGGCTCTTGCCCCGTGCAGGGTGCAGGACGGCGTCAAGCCAAACAACTTG